AGCGTCCACCAGCACGTCAGACGTCGCGTTGGCCGGAATGATGTGGTACTTGAGGATGGTCGACAGCAGCGGAAGGCCAACCGGTGTCAGCAGCAAGTCCACGAGTGGTCCAAGAGTCTTAAAGGCGGCGTCGGTTGGTGCCAGGATGGTGTAGGGGCCTTCGCCTGCGAGCGACTCCAACAGACCCGTCTTCTCAAGCGCGGTCTGGAGAGTTGCCAGCTCCTCCTAGAACAACATCACGACACGAGCCACGGATGAGCAAATCATCGTCATGTGCGTGTCTGTGTGTGTATTGAGGGGGCCGGGGCAAGGGCGCTTACGTCTTCCGCAATGATCCCAGCCACAGTGCCCTCCAACTCGACATCATGTTCTTCTGCCGACTCTGAGGCCTGCAGCACACGTGTGGAGGCCTGCAGACACATGAACACCAAGCCAAGACAAGCCAAGCCGAACAGGAGGAAGGAAGATGTGAGCGTTATCGCTTTCCGCTACACCCATCTCTGCTTACACCGAGGTTAGCCGATGCCGCTGGCTGTCCCTGCACGGCTGTCGTAGCAGCTGGCGCAACGACGGAGGCAGCGCCCTGCTGCGGTACTGCCGCAGCAGTCGGTGCAGTCGCTGGCGCAGCACCTGGTGCAGCGGCTGGCGCAACGGCTGACGCAGCAGCCGGCGGAGTAGCCGGTGGAGCTGCCGGCGGAGCAGCTTGCTGTGTGGCGTTCTGGGTGGCTGCTGCGATAGCCTCCTGGGCCTTCTTGATAAGAGCCACCATGTCTTGAGCCTGACGAAAGGACGTACGTGTCATATCCCAACCAAACAGGGAAGAAGGTTAGGAATGTTGGCGCATCCATTCATCTTGCAGGGTGGATCGGTCACTCACCTTCATGCCGGGTGGCACGAGCATCTCATCGATGACATGGACGATGCCGTTGGGGGCGATTTGGTCGGGGTCAGTGACGTGCGCTGCCTGGTTGATCAGCAGCGTCTTGTCCCCTTCGGCAGTGGTGCTGTTGTCGAACTCGATGAAGACGGGGATCTGCACGGCCGTCGCCACGGCAATGTTGGAGACATTCTTGAGGATCATCCCAATGACCTCCTGGGTGGCGTTGCCGGCCAGCACGTGGTACTGGAGGATGGTGTTGAGCAGTGGCTGACCCTCAGGCGACTGCAGCAGCTCCAGCAGGTTTGCGTCCAGTTTGGCGAAGGCGTCGTTTGTTGGGGCGAAGACAGTGAAGGGGCCGGGGGTGCTAAGCGGCAGCGTCAGGTTCACCAGCGCCAGCATGCTGTCCAGTGTCGTCAGGTCCTCCTGATACATACGGAACGAGAGAAAGAAAGACTCAGCCGCTCACTTGACTTGACCATGTGTCCAGCTTTGCTGCTGCTTACCCTCAAAGCAATGATGTCCGTGAGCGTCTGAGGTTCTTGCAGCCGTCGCGGGGGAGGCTGCAATGCAAGCAGTACCAAATATACCCACCGTCGATGCGATGCATGATAGTGTGCTCATCCCACCCACCCATCCACCCAGCGGCCCACCTTCTCCCTCGCTTCCAGAGTGATGTTTCCGGCCGCACGCTGTTTCTTGAGCTCCTCCATTCTGATGTTGGCCTCCTGGATAGCCGACTCGAGGATCTTGATCTCCAGCCCCGGCGGCAGCAGCAGTCCGTCGATCTGGTGCACCACGCCGTTGGACACTATGACGTCCGCAGTGGTCACGTTCGTGTCGTTGTTGATGTGCAGCTCGTCGGCCGCGTCAGCCAAGTCGATGCTGATGGCCATCTGGATGGCGGACGGGATCTCGAGGTGATTGCTGTCGGTGGTGTTGGCCATCAGCTCACGAATGGCGCTAGTCGTCGCATTGCCACCGGCTATGTGGTATTGCAGTATGCTGCGCAGGATGGGAACACCGGCTGGGGTGCCCAGAAGCGACAGGATCTTGTCAGACTCGGCCTGGACGGCTTCGAAAGCGGAGTTCTCGGGAGCGAACATGGTCAGGGCCTGTGGATAGCCCTCCAAAGCGTCCATCAGCCCCGATTTGTCGAGCAAGTCAGCCAACGTGCTCATGTCGTCCTGCATTGCATTGCATTGCATTGCATGCATCGGAGGAGATGCACACACAGCACAGGTACGTACTGTGCTGGACTGCTGGACGTCGGCAGGCATGTGGTGCCGACCGATAGTCTTACGTTGGCCTTGATGAATTCAATGAGTGTGCCGTCGTACGTCTCAAGGCCACGACGGGGAGCCGGAGCCGCCTCCAATGCCCGACGGCCAACAGGGGCCTACCGATATGAAGAAGGCGAGACAATGGGCTGATCGGCACGTGAGTCTCTTGTAGGCTGTGTGCGTACGGTACGTACCGCCATGTTTGGTGGTGTGAGGACTCTGTCGATGACGTGCATGTAGCCGTTGGTGCCGTGGAGGTCGATTGCCGTGACGATGGCGTCGCTGTTGAGGTTGAGCATGCCACGCTGGGCCGTGATGTTGAACTTCTGCCCCTCGAGTGTGTCAACACCGATGGCCGCGAACCCCTGCAGCGCCTTGACGATCGCTTTGGAACTCGCCTTGGCGGGCACCACGTGGTACAACACAATCTGAACCAAAGCGCAGCGCAGCCAGCACCGAGCAAGAGTGGATCACTCCATTTCTCTCTGTTATGTTTGTGTGTGTGTTCACGTGTCCGTACGTCTTTGAGCAGTCCCAGGTTCTCCTCCTTGAGGAGTTTCTTGAACATGGGTCCCATCTTCTCGAACGCCCTGTTTTCGGGCGCGAAGATGGTGATGTTTCCATCGACCTTCAGGTCCTTGAGCGCTCCAGAGGCGTTGATGGCCTTCTCGAATTGGCTGAACGCCTGACCAACCCACCCGACAGACCAACAAAGAGCACAATGGAAGACAAGATCGGCAGGCAGAAGTTATGTCCTCAAAGTCTTACATCCTCCTTCTGGATGATCTCCAGCAATGTCATCGGGGGCGCCATCTGCACATCACATCCAACCACAGAGCCACAGACGTCATCGAACGTTTGTCTTCACGATTGTTCCCTCCCTCCCTGCCTGCCCTCCCACCTCTTTCTCTGGCGGCGGTGGCAGGTCCTCATCGTTGCTCCCTGGCGGGACGACGACCCCCCGTGGCGGCTCCTCCCCTGACACCGTCGTGCTGTTAGATGACGCAACGACGCCTGCCGGTGGCTTGGCCGCTGCTGGCGCTTTCGCCTTGGAAGGCGGTTTCAGCGCCATCCGAGCGCTGGCTGCCGATGGGGCAGCGCTGGCTGCATCTGTGGCGGCCTGGGAGTGTGCATGCTGCGAGAAGCACACCCCCAGGATCAAAATCAGCGAGAGATAGGCCCGCATGATGTGGTACCCTCCCCTCGCCTCGTCAGATGTCCCTTCTAATTAAACAGCCTCCTGCCTCCCTTCGATGGGGGATACCACACCGTACGGGATCCGTTGACCGTTACGACTCAATTTACAGCATCTCGACTTTTTGCCCGCACTGATCATGCACACAGGAAGCATCCTGCTGATGCTTGCGGCGACTGCCGCACCGGTGGCTCAGATCATGGCCGGCGATGCTGCCGAGGAAGGCAAGCCGAGATTCGTTTTGACGATGAAGGGCACAAGGGCGTTCGGCGAGACGACCCAACTGAAGCTCTTGCGCGACCTGCGCAAAGTGCTGAATGACCTCGAAGGCCTGCTGCACAGCCAGAAAAACAGAGTAAACCTGAAGGACAATGTGGACGGCACGCCGTCTCGCCAGGGGAACGACACGCTGCCGGAGCAGGTCCCCTGTCCCGGCGGGAGACGAACCATCAGCGGCGACAGACAGGTGGACGAGGGCTTTGGCGAGATCTTTAGCTTGTACGTACGTGTGGCAGAGAGAGTTGGTTGACTCGAATCTCAACCTGTACCTGTGGATGTGTGTGTCTGCTGCGTGATGGGCGGTGGGGCAGTTATTTCGATAGCGCTGACGTGGCGGACTTCTTTGTTGTGGCCCTTGATTCAACGGGCGTTGGCAACAGCGACCTGAGTGTGACGGACTACTTCACCGGGTATGTATGCGCGGACCAGCAGAACCAACCGATTATGCATACCATTCCCTCTGCTCGTACGTGCTGTGTTGCCTCAGAACGGAGGTCCTGTCAGAAAATGAATCAGACGGTGAGGTGGACACGTTCGAGGACGTGGTCATCGTTGACACCTCTCAGATCGATGGCAGCTACGGCCTTGACATCGTGGCCTTCTGCGTCGAGGGGCCGTGTGAGTACCAGCTGGTGGTGTTCGAGCACACGGGCGAGTGCGTCCCCAGCCCGGCTATCGACATCGAGGGCGTTGACGTCGGCATCAGTGACACGCTGCCCGTGCTGGCACCACCTACCCCGTGAACCGGGGAGCGGGACGTTTGTGTGCGCCGACGAGATGCTTGCGCTTTTATGTACACACAGAGGTTTTGTAGTCTTGTGAGTGATCGGCCCTCTCCCTCCCCTGCGTGTCTTCAGTATTCATCTGGATTCATAGGATAAGTGGCTGCCTGCCTGCCTGCATGATTGAATGTACGCAGCACGCCAAAGGGCGGCGCTTGCCTGCCTGCCTATTGCTGGCTGATGCACACGTACGTCCCCACACATACATACGTAGATGTGTACATCAATTGGCTGAGGATGTGATCGATATATGCGATGCGCATGGGATGTGCTATACTATGACACTGTCAAGACGGTATTGGTGTTGTGATCTGATTGACCGGGGGGAACGGGACATGGGAAGGGACGGGACGTTTTGTATGTATAATCCATCAGGCAGGCCTGTTTATCCATTCATCCGTCGTCCATCGATACGTAAGGACATGTATGTATGTATGTCTGTCTTGCAATGCATACGGACGGGGTCCTTATACGCGAGAGCACCTACCTTATGCACCACACGCACATGCGACACACACACCGACACACACGGGAGGGACGAGGGGCCGACACGACTGAGCGAAAATTGCCGGGCACGACGAACGAACATACAAAACGCGAAAACGACTGGCTCGATAGGGACGGGCGGGACGTACAGACCTTACCTTACACACGACAGCGAAAAAAGGCAGCTGAGCCCCACACGCAGACAGACACTACAGCAAACGAAGCGAGCGAGAATACCCTGGTTTCACAGGCCGTCCGGCAGCTCAGCTAGCACTGCCCTCCTATCTATCATTCCGTCGACCCGTCCCCTCCTGAGCTTCCCTGGCTCTTCTCGCTGTCTGCCGCTCCACTCACAGTGGTGCTCTGCGGTGTGGCCACATCCCCATGCCCGTCGGCAATAATGTCATCCTTGTCGGGGGTGTAAATGTCGAATCGCTCGGGCAGCTTGCGGGCCAGGGATGGCGATGGGTGTGAGGGGCTGCAGCCGCTCTTGCTGCTGCTGGTGCGAGAGGAGGGTGAGGAGAGGGAGGCAGTCACCATGAGTGCGTGGGGTGGTGCTTTGGCCGCCGCTGCTGATGGCGATGCGGATGCGGATGCGGGTGTGTGTGTGTGCCTGGCGGTGGTGTGTGGTGGGGGCCGTCGGAAACACGTGGGGCAGCCGGCTGACCTCCGGAAACAAGCCCGGTGGAACACACACTGCAGAGGGATCGCCGACAGACAGACAGACAGACAGACATCTTGTCATGTCAGGGGTCAGTGGTAAGTGGGTGCATGGCATGGATTCATGGCATGGCATGCTCCACGTTACCTTGCAGGTTTCACATTCGTGGTAGACGGCCACATCGTACGCGAACAGGGGCTGCCGATGAGCACAGATCGAGCAGAGGTGGCCGTGCGTCACACACAACGAACACTGCACACACACACAGACACATAGACATGTCATGCAGACAAATGGAGAAGGAAGACACACGCCAGACACCCAACTTGGGTGGCTCTCTAACCGTGAGTATGTGCCGTATCCATCTGCGGTTGATCTGCAGCAGCTTCTCACGCAAACCGCCATGGCGCGTCATCATCGCACCCCCCATGGGGAACGAGCCCTTTGGACTCACACCAAGTGACAGCATGGGGGGCTGAGGGCCGCCAGCCGCATCTGTGGGACGAGGGAGGGATGGATGGATGGGTGGATGGATCAGGGATACAGGCAGAGAGAGTCATCCATTTCCGCGTGTGCCGAGTCAAGGTATGTGTGTGGGTGGATGACTCACCAGTGGCTATCGACACGAGGTTTTTGATGGAGTAGAGGTGGGCCGTGCTGCGGATGTGCGGCTCCAGACGCTGTTGAAGCGACCGACACAGAAGCAAGGCAAGCGTGTCAGGGCAGGAGAGTCGGTCAGTGCATGTCATGTGTGTCGTGGTGGGCGTGTCGATCGTGCCACGTGACTCACGTGGAGCTCTTTGTCGAAAGCGGCTTTCTGTGAGCAGGTCTGGACGATAGATCGGATGCCCTGCAGCTGCCGCCTCAGGAAATGCACCTCAGATATGCACCGCTGATGCACCTACACACTCACACAGCAATACGGTGTGAAGGACCCTCTCTCCCCCACTTTCTCCTCTTCGCCCGACCGACCGACCGACCTTGACGCTAGGGTGTATGTCGCTGATGGCAATCAAGGGCTGCGACTGAACCGTGTCGAGGAAAGACGCCACGCAACGACACACCTGTACACAGCACAAACAGCACCCACAGCAGAACACGACCCCGTGACGCATCTGTGCTGTCGTCGGTGTGGTACCTACCTTTCTGGGCATGAAATCCCACTCGTTGACGACGAGTGCGGGGATGAGTCGGACGTCGTTGCGGTGGCACTCGCTGCAGTAGTAGTAGCCCGTGTAATGACAGTACCGGGGCGGAGCCAGCAGCGACTTAGACAGCACGCACCCACAACTAAACAAACACCACCACACACAGAGGCACAAAGGGCTGCTATGCTATATCGGCTGGTTTTGGTGCCGCTTGTTTGCTCACCCCGGGCATTTGCCGCGTTGTTTGGCCACTTGCGTGGCCTTCCATGGCTGTGGGTATGGCGTGAGGTCCCACTTGACGTGCACACCATACGGAGCAGGCAAGAAGGACGACTCACACCTGCACGCACACATCCATCCCGATGGGCGTAGTCTCAATGTCTGTCAATGTGTATCCTTGATTGGTATGCATGCCTTTATCTATCTTACTTTCTCCTGGCCTCCTCTCTGAGGGCCTCTGAAGTGCTCCAGGGCTCATCCGCCCGACCACCACCACCACCACCACCACCTCCAGCACTACTCGACGCCTCCCTCTCCCCCTCACGCCTTTCCCCCGGCCCATCATCCCTCTCCCTCTTGCGGCCACCAGCCTTCACAGACACGGAAGGCCCCTCCTCGACACTCACCCCATGCTGCAGCTGCTGCTGCTTCTTCTCATCACTACTCGACGCAGCAAGGGGTGGCGGTGCCGTGGTCGTGTCCTCATCCCCCCCATCACCCGCAGGCACGTCGGCAGTCGGCAGCAGGTACGCCGGCGGCAGGTTGAGCTTGCGATGGATCTCATACACCTCTGAAAACGTGGGCTTGCTGCTGCCCCCACCACTGATGCTGATGCTGCTGCCACTGGGGGACGGAGGGAGGTCCCTCTCATGGCTGTGGCTGCTGCCCCCCGTGGCTGACAGCGAGAGGCTGTCGCACCGCTGCTGCTCGCCGTAGTGCTGCGTCAGGGCCAGGAACCGCTCTCGCTCAGACAGGGCGCTCGCCAGCGACACGCCGGGTGGGGGCAGGCAGACACCCGGGCGCGCATCGGTGTCGCGGGACACCAGTGGCGGCGATGGAGCCGGCAGCACACTGAAGAAGGAGGACGTGTCACCAGGCGACTCCTCGGCCTCGCCCTCGTCCCCCTCGCCGTGGACATTGGCGAAGAGGTCCTGCAGGGGATTCTTGGGAGCGGCAGGGGGCGGGGAATGGGGATTGGGAGGGGGGAGCGGGGCCGCATCAGGGGTCGACGGCGATGGCGATGGCGATGGAGGTGCGATACTATCGGTCAGCTCCAGCAGGGTCTCCACGCCTTCCCCCTCCCCCTCCTCATTCTCCAGATCGACAATGATCTCGCCCTCGCTGCTGCTCGGCCGCTCCTGCTCCTCTCTCCCTGCCGCCGTGGGCGGTGGGACAGGCGCCTCGGCCGTGCCTGCGGAAGAGAAGACGGCCGCGAGTTCGTCTTGGTCCATCGACAGCAGGTCGTGGGTGCCGCTGCCCGCTGCTAAGAGGGGCTGATGGATGGCAGCGTGATGGTGCTGTGAGGTCAGTGAGGCCCCCTCGTCCCATGGCGTCTCATCGTCGAGACGGAGCAGCGGGCTGTCCTGGTCGTTAGTTGCGGTGTCCTCGTGGGTGGTCTCGCCCGCTCCTGTCGGCGCTTCGTGGGATGGCGGGATAATGCCTGGATCGCTCTCGGGCAGCATGGGCGGCTCATCGGCTTCTCGAGCAGCATACTTGCCCAGCTCGTGGCCAAGTGAGGGTGTGTCGGGTGATAACTCGGACACGCCGGGTGCCAGGAGGGAGACGGGCAGATCAACACCATCATCTTCTGTGTATGGCGATGGACTGTCGCCCTCACTCTTGCGGCCGGGCTCGTCGACGCCGTCCTCCTCCTCCTCCTCCTCCTCAGACCCCTCACCCTCCCCATCGGAGGGGCCACCATGTGAGATGGCCGGCTCGGTCACCGACCGCCGTGGGCACGGGCCCTCCTCATCCTCCTCGACGTCATCACCGGTGAGGAGCCGCTCCGCCGACAGGTCCGTGTCCGTGTCGGCGGCGCTGCGGGCGTATTCATCCTCCTCCTCCTCCTCCTCGTCGATGGGATGCAGATGCAGCGCAGCAGCATTGTTGTTGTCGTTGGCGACTGCAGCAGCAGCGACTGCTTGGGGCGGTGGAGGGGGAGGGGGCGAGCTGAAGGGACGCGCTGAGAGACAAGACAAGACAACCAAGCACAAGCAAGGGGAGGTGGGTCGGTGAGTGAGTGAGTGTATCTATCGACCAGCCGGCAGACCAGACGTAGGTAACCAACCTGTGGGTCCGTGGCCGAGGCCCAGCTTGCAGGCCTCGCAGGTGAGAAAGAAGTCAGAGATGGGCTTGTTCCGATCTGCACAGCACACATCACATCACACACAGACACACACAGACACAGACACAGACAGGCACATGCACACATAAGAGACCGAAGCGCTGAGAGCGTACCTTCTACAGGCTGCGGTTCAATGCCGTTTCGGGCCTTCATGCGGTTGAGGTCGACCTTCAACGGACGCTACACACACACACACACATACACATACACATTACATTACATCAAATGGCCCGTACCTATCGACACACATACCGTGTCCCGTCCCGCGCGTGTGTGTCCCTCACTGACCAGTTTGATATTCTTAATGGCGAGTGCGACAAACTTGGACGACAGCTCCGGCGGACTGGCAAAGTTGAGGGTCTCCAATGCTGACAGGCACACCACACGGGAGGGCACCCAGATGAAGGAAGCGATTAGATACAGACAGTATCGTGCGAGCACCCACCCCACTCACTCACTGACCCATCAGTGCCGAAGTGAAGGACAGGAAGAGCTCCTCATCACGCAACACAGCCCACGACTGCACACACACACACACACACACAATCTATCCCCTCGGTCCGTCCGGTGTGTGCTGCAACCGCTGACTGACCTCGTAGAAGTGCTGCATCCGTCCCTCGTCGTGGAAGAGCTCGTTGATGAACGCCACCAGGCGCTTGTTGACACACAGGAAGATCAGCAGGTGCAGGTCGGCGTCCAGGTGCTCCAGGTACTCGGGCACCACCAGCAGGAACACCGCATCGTCTATCACGTCCTGGTACCTGCACACAACACAACACAACCACACACCAAAACATCGATGACCTACTTGGTGCACCGCACCGTGCCTGAAGAACGTGATTGATGCATGTCCTGTCATGTCACCGTACCTTCTGAATCCCAGCAAGAGGCAGCTGCGTATCTGCCGGAAGAGCGCCCTCATGCCCTCCCCCCACCTCTCCCCAGGCCCGCCCAGAGGGTTGAGCCACCCCGTCAGCCCTCCTTTGCCGCCATTGGGGGTGTCGCCGCCCATGACGTCGAGAATCAGTCGCTGGATGGCGGTGTTGAGCTGGCGGATGTGTTGAATGGCCGGTAGAGTATTGCTTTGCGGCAGCTCGTACTTGCGGATCTCATGCTCTAGGGGGTCAACACAGGGAGGGGTGGAATGGGGAGTTGACCAAGGACGCATGATGGCTGGAGATAGATGGATGGATGAATGGATGGCTGGGGGATGGGCACACTACACCTAGCTCATGAGCCCTGCTGCACCAGATCGGGAGGCCCTCTTGAGACTGCGAGCTTAGCGGGTTGCCAACGCTTGTTCTTCAGGATCAATGGCGGGGTCACGTTGTGTGTTGCATGAGCAGCAGCATTGTTACGTTACTCGTCTGTCATCTCATCTCATCTGTCTGTCATAAATCTCATCATCACGTCTTCTCATCTCGTCCCATCCATATCCATCTCTCATTGATTGCTACTCTACACACAAACAGCCATCCATCCATCCATCCATCCAGCCGGCCAGCCACCCGCAGAACTAAACCAATAGGTAGGTAGGGTAGGTAGCCAGGCTGCCGTCTGTCAGTCCGTCCCTCCGTCCTCCTGTCGAGACGTCTGTCTACTTGGGAATGAGCAGGCCGCCGAGGGCCTTGTCCATGACCTGGTCCACCGACTGGCCGGTCCCGAAAGCTGTCACCAGCAGCACTACCAGACCCAGCATCGCCAACCTCCTGGTGGACACAACGCAACACAACCAACACACACACACACAAAGACGATACCACTCATACACAGTGTGCATCTGCCGCCCACTCTCGACCTCCATCCCTCCCTCCGTCACTGACCCGTTGAGCATTTCAGCGCCCTTTGTGAGTCCCGGCTCGAATCTGGGGATGAGTCCCGCGGGCTCCTCGTCGTCCTCACCGTCGCTGAACCAGAACTTGTCCGGCAGCGAGTCGTTGAAGAGGAAGGCGATGAGCGATATCATCAGCAGGTGGGCGTTGAACACCAGCACGTAGATGTTCTGCAGAGGGATCTCCGCCTCCTTGCCGCCATACGCAATCCACTTGAAGGTCTCCTCGGGGCCGGGGAAGCCAAAGATCGGGTTCCCCGTGTACTTGGCGTACGCAATGAACAGCAGACTCACCCACCCCGCCATCGCGTGCCGACCATTCCAGCGCTCAGCATTCGCTGGGGGGCACATGCAGACACCAGACAGACACACAGAACAGGTAGGTAGGAGAGAGTGGCCAACAGAAAACACACAGAAAGATGAGCACTCACGCTGCACATCTGGACGGAGCAGTGCATGTGTGAGTGAGAGTGGCGCTCACCCACCTGTTGGCCCGAATCCCATCTTCTTTGGCATGGCGAAGTCCTTGCCAAACTTCTCAACGCCTTCGTTGAACACGCTCATGTCCAGCCGACCGGCCGCCGCCTTCGCAGGCGAACGCAGCCGAGTCAGCGCATTCACGCCAGGAGAGGACACAAACGCGCTGGATGCAGGGGCAGCGAAGCCTGCACACACAACACAGAACAGACAGAGTAGCACACCGGTGAAGAAACACCCATTAGGAGTCCCTGGAAACATGGCGCTGCGCTGCGTACCCTGCGAGATGGAGAGATAGACAAAGAGAGCGGCGAGGACGGACTTCATTCTCAAAACACAACAACAAGCCTTCCCTTCCCTCCTTGCCGTAATGTTTACAGCGGTCTGGGTTAGCGTTAGAGCATGACCGACACGTCTAACGGCGGTGAGAAGAAAGGTCCCTTAGAGCCCTTGGCCTTTTCTTGGAGGGTTTTGAGTGACGGAGACCCTGTATTGATCCTTTCGTGACGGCCCCTCGCCACAGACACGCAGGGGCACTGCATGCGCCAGCCCAAGTGAACGAAAAGCTCGAGAGGCCCTTGGTGAGGTGAGGGGGGAAGGGGATCCACAGGGCCCACCGAAAGGAATCTCCCTTTGTTGTTTCATATGCAGCCAACCAGCCAGCCAGCCAGCCAGTGTCGATTAAATTTGTTGTCCAGCGATGGAGGTGACGGTGACTGAGGCCAACAGCTTCCCCCCTCGCTCCTATGTGTCCATACGCGTCGGCGACACCAGACGACAGGCACCACTCAAACTCAATGAGGTCAATGAGCTCTAGACTCACTGACCAGCACTAAGATATACTGCCGCACATCGAGTCCTGTCCCTGTGTCTGCCGCACACAGCCCTTCCGCTTCCCGTCGGCCAGCTCAAACACGTTCAAAGTGGAGGTCCTTTCCATGGTATGTAAAACGCTGTAGACATGTTGCATCGCAAAAAGGGTCGCGTGCACAACACGACTAGAGAGTCCCCTCTCTGTCTGATTGGTTCATGTGTGTGTGGTTCATGTGTGTGTGTGTGTGTGTGCAGTTGGGTGGCACGCAGCTGAGCACGGCCAAGTTGAAGCAGAAAAGCAATGTCGACGAGATCATCTCCATCCCCAACCCAGCGGGCACCGGCGCGCAGTCCCTGACGCTCAAGATCAACGCCCAGCTGACCGATCCGGCGGCCAAGAAGCAGACGGAGAGGCGGCAGAGCCGACATCAGGCGGCCCTCAACGCACAGAAGTACCTCGACGAGCACAACCTGCAGACCGTGCTGCAGACCATGGTGCAGCAGATACTCATCGACAAACCCAAAGAACCACTCGAGTACATGGTAGGTAGGGTGGGGACACACACACACACACACACACGCTTCCCGTCTGTCTGCCTGCCTGCCTGCCTGCAGGTGCGGTACCTCGAGAAGCTGAAGGTTGAGGGTGCGAAGCCGGGAGCATCACCCAGCGGGCCGATCCCTACCGGTGAGACATGCATGCCATGGAACGAACAAACAAACACAGTGGTTGGTTGGCTGTGCCCTTTGCCTTTGACCCAGGCGGTAAGAGTTCCAACCCTGCTTTGTATCTGGACCCGACGTTGGACTTCCCCCTGCTGGAGACATCCAACACCATCATGGCTGAGGTGCTGATGGAGAGACAAGACCTCTACTACAGATACAGAACCACCGTCACGAACACCGGCTTCACTTTCGACCAGTGAGTGAGTGGGGGACGGCCACAGAGACACTCATTGCTGTCTCATTGTCTGATGTCGTCCGGTTTATTTCATTCAGGTGCATCCAGTGCGGCCTCGATTGTGCAGACGAGGGCATCCTCGGCTGTGTGGTTGGCGACGAGGAGAGTGTGAGTCTGTTCCGCGACTTCTACGGCCTTGTGGTGGCGAAGCGTCACGGCCTCGGCCCCAATGGGCGGCACCCGGCCCCCTCACCGATGCTGATCGACCCCACACACATCAAGGCCGACAGCTGGGACCCCTCAGGCAATGTCATCCTCTCCGCCAGATTGAGGATCAACAGATCTATCAGGGGATTTGCACTGCCGCCGCAGTGCACGCGCGGCGAGCGTCGCAAGGTGGAGTCGGTGGTTGCCAATGCACTGTGTCGGCTGACGGGGGAGCTGAAGGGCCGCTACTTCCCGCTGGCCAAGATGGCTGCTGCCGACCGTGACGACCTGGTGATCGACAAGATGCTCTTCACTCCACCAGATTCGCAATACTGCCAGGTGGACTGACTGGACAACACATGCGCATCGCATAGATCTATGCATAGACCTGCTGATCGCATCGCTCTTGTGTGTGTGGTTTGTTCATGTCTGTGTGTGATGGATGCAGTCGTCTCGCATCGGCCGTGACTGGCCTGACGGCCGTGGTCTGTACATGACCGACGACAAAAGCGTGCTGGTGTGGGTCAACGAGGACGACCATCTGCGCGTGGTGGCGCTGCAGCCCAACGCAGACCTCAAGACACTCATCACCAAAACGCAGTACTTGATGACCGAGCTCAGCAACGCACTCAAACAAGACAAGGCCGACTTCCTCATCGATCAACAATTCGGGTAGGTCGGGTCGGGGCGGCACGGACATGGGTGTCTCTGCTCTCTCCGTCCACCCATCCATCCCATCCCATCAATGTGTCAGGTACATCACAAGTAGCCCTTCCAACTGGGGCACCGGCCTTCATGTCTCGGTGGTGCTCCGCGTCCCCAACCTGGCGACCCTGCTCGCCTTCAAGCCCCTCGCCAAGACGCCTCGCGCCACGCAGCAACCAGACGACAAGGCCACGGCCCTGCTGGCAGCGCTGGGTCTCTACATTTCTCCAGCACCTGACGGCCGCTTCGGGGATGCAGCGGCCGATGGGGCGCTCGACGTGGGCAACATCGCCAAGGCGGGCATGACTGAGGACGAGATACTCGAGGTGGTGGGGGAGGGCGTCAAGCAGCTGATTGCCTGGGAGGCCATGTTGGACAAGGAGGGCGGGTCGGCGGCCGTGCAGGATGAGGTGCGGAAGGTCACGCAAAGGGGGTTCAAGAGACCAGAGCCAAAGGCAAAGGCGGAGAAGGTGGAGAAGGTGGAGGTGCCGCCCAAAGAGCAGCCCAAGAAGGACGCGGAGGCGCCGACAGAGAAGGAGGAGCCTAAAGAGCTGCCGATAGAGAAGAAGGAGACCAGAGAACCTGACCATGGTCCTGCGGATGGTGAGCGGGGGCGGGAGGTACACTGCAGCAACAGAGGGGGAGGAAAGAGCCCAGCCCTCTGTGTCTGGTGTGCATTCCATTCTTGTGTGCAGTTGCCGCCGCTCCAAGTGCCACGGCGGGAGGCCAAGCCGTGCGGGATATCCTGAAGGCCCACCCAGAGCTGGCAGAGAAATACAAGGGCGTCAAAAGCCGCAACGACTTCACACTGGAAATGTTTGTATCCACACACACCACACAGGGGAGGGGAGACACTGGCCAAGGCTGCCCTGCCGTGGCCTCTCCTTTTGTCATGCAGGGCGACCAAGTGCGGCATCGAGGACGCCTCTCCCTCGTCAGACGCAGCAGTCGGTTGTGTCGTTGGCGACGAGGAGAGTGTGAGTCTGTTCCGCGACTTCTACGGCCTGGTGGTGGCGAAGCGTCACGGCCTCGGCCCCAATGGGCGGCACCCGACCCCCTCACCGATGCTGATCGACCCCACACACATCAAGGCCGACAGCTGGGACCCCTCAGGCAATGTCATCCTCTCCGCCAGACTGAGAATCAACAGATCTATCGGGGGATTTGCACTGCCGCCGGCCATGGATGCCAAAGAAAGGGCCGCGACGGAGCAGCTGCTGGGCGATGGGCTGAGCGGGCTGACGGGTGAGGTGGCGGGTCAGTATCACCGGCTGGCCGAGATGTCTCCCGAGTTCCGTCAGCAGTTTGTTGACGAGCAGCAGCTGTTCAGCAGCCCCACGTCGCCATACTTCCAGGTGGGTACTACGCGGACAGTGACTGACACAATGAATGTGTGCCGCAGCATATATCAATGGTCGTCTGTGTCTCTGTGTGTGTGGCTCTCAACACTGTCTGTCCCGCTTCTCCCAATCACTTACTCACACCGCCTTGAAGACCACCAAAATGGGTGAGGGGTGGCCTGATGGTCGGGGATTCTTCCTGTCGACCAGCCGTGAGGTGCTGGCTTGGGTGAATGAGGACGACCACCTGAAGCTCATGGTCATCAAGAAGGGCGGTGACGTCAAGGCGGTCGTCACACTCATGCGCGAGGCCGTGACGCAACTCGACACATACCTCGCCAGCAAGGACGCCTCATTCATTGTCGACGAACAATTCGGGTACGCTGGACATCTCGCCGGGCCGATGTCTCTCAACTCAATGCTCTCTGCGCTGCGCTGGTGTGTATTGCCGATGGCTGCAGGCACATCACGAGCTGTCCATCGATGTGGGGCACGGGTCTCAAGTTGTCGCTGCTTATGAAGCTGCCGCACCTGGCCGCCCTGTCGTCCTTCCCCCCGTCGGCCATCGCACACATGGGGGTGCGCGTGCGCCCAGAGCCGTCGGGCGAGGGGCTCTTCGACGTCACCAACGCCCGGGCGATGGGGGCGAGTGAGGCCGACATCATTTCTGAGGTGGCCAACGGGGTGGAGCGGCTCATCCAGTGGGAGCAGGGGATGGCCAAGGGCGATGCATCAAAGGTGCAGCAGGACATCCAAGAACTGAACGGATGACACACACAAGGGGGGGCTAGCTAGGTGGGTGGGGGTGACATAACTAACTAACTGCTCTTTGTCGCTCTTTTCCTGTCTGTCTGTCTGTCTGTCATGCGTGCCTGCATTATATATACTGCATCCATGGCTGCTCAGATGGATGGATGGATGGATGAGTCAGTTTGGTGGGCTAGCCTAGCTGTCTGTCTGTCTGCTTCCCTCCCGCAACTTGTCTGTCGCATGGAGCCGCTAGGGCGTTTTGACCGACCGGCCGATAGACCCACCCACCTACCTTGTACTTCTCCCTGACTGAACACGCACGGACGAGTGAGTGGCCGACTGCCTGAATGCTTTACTTAATGCATTCAATGATTTAAGCAAAGCAAAGCATGGATGGGGTGGCCGGGGGAATCGTTCGAGATCCATCAATCATGTTTCCCGGTCCCACACACACACACACGTGTCTGCATTGTGTCACGTATATAGAAGCGAGTGACTCTCCAGCCACCCGTCCGTCATTCACTCACCACTCACTCTCTACCCCCCATTCACACCACACCACACCAGACCCGCCTCCCACTCCCATCACAGCTAGACTGGCGCCGCCTCATCTTGGGCGTCGGCAACGGCTGGGACGCAGGCAAGATGGGCAGGATGGGCCTGGGCAGTCGGAGCTGATGCGAGTTGGAACCCGGCGGGTCGGTCGATGGCGGCGGGTGGGTGGTGGTCGACGATGTGGTGATGACCGGGGGGTGGTCGACCGATGACGTCTGCGACTGAATGCTCATCGCCGCCTGCTGCTTGTGAGCATCAACCGGTCCTGACGCACACACACAGTCGCATGTACAAAGCGCACAGGTGAGTGTCTGTGACATGCATCCTCTGCTAACACACCTAGGGTACGGTGTGGTCTCTCCTCTGAGCCCCTCCTGCGCCGCCTCGAGTCACTTGACCCGCCCGACGACAACGCCCCTGTGCCATCATCGGAGCGACCTGACAAGAGCCGCGAGGCACGACGGCACTGCAGCCGCGGGGGCGAAGGGGGACGACACTCAGCTATATCTCTGCTATGCACCACCGTGCTGGACGGCGCTGGGTTCCAATCACACGTCCTGTCCTTGGGCAAGTCGTTCGACGACAAGACAGATGATGCCGGGGGAGACGGGCAGACCGGCGGGCTTAGACGGGCAGACGAGGGCCGACGCTGAGGCAGCATGTCGCTTCGCGGCTGGCCGGTGTCGGCTGCCGACCTCAGGATTTGCCGGGTATGTCGTTGTGCGATTGGGGGTCGGATGCTGCTGAGGCGATTGGGGAGAGGCAGCTGCTGCGGTGGCGGACACGGCAACACGGGGATAGAGACCTGAAGGCAGGCAGGCCACAGAAGTGGATGTCAAACAGATGGTGTGGTGGGCCGGGCCCTTTCTACTTCGCTTCGCTTACCCCACTAGTGTGCTGTTCTGTCGGAAGCCGCCCATGGACTATCTCTCCATCCTCATCCCTCTCTCCGACGGTGCCCTCTCCCCGCTGCCCATTCTTGTGCGGCCGGGCATGGGCTCTCAGCCGTGCTCCGTCATCTACCATCTGCTGAGGGCCCCTCGATAGCTGAGGCTGCGACCGGACAGGCCCGGCATGCCTCATCAGCCCGGTGTGACCACTGGCATCACTTGGGGGCTGCTCTGGGACAGGCGTCTTGTGTGCGGTTGGCATCCCAAGCGCCTCCATCCACTCTCCTAGATCGCCGATAGCGCCGCTCCTCTGCCTGCCCAGCAGTGCTGCATGCCCCTCCATGGCCTTGGACGCCTCCCGCCGCAGCACCGCCCCTATCTCACCCATCCGTGATCGCAGCTCTCGCAGCTCAGCCAAGATGGACGTGGTCGTCCCGACACCCTCATCGCCCCCGCCCTGCCCCTCCCTCTCCGCAGCCGCATGGTCGGCCGCAACGGCATGATGGTCCCTCTTGTGATAGTGATATGGCGGCGATGGTGCAGTCAGGGATGACCGCACGCCCATGCCGAAGTCACGCTGGATCACAGAGGGGGGGCTCGCAGACTCACCACCGACACCATCGCCCTCACAGCCCGCATGGTCGCGCCGGACACGCTCCAGGGGCGTGGCATTGGTCCACGAGGGGTACTTGGCTGTTGCCTGAGGGGTGGTGACCAGCTCGGGTGGGGCGATGCTGACCGGCATGGCCGTGGCAGCCCTCTCACGTGCCGGGGTGGAGAACGGTGGTAGGGGCACGGGGGGAGAGGGCGAACAGATGGGTAGGGGGGAAGGCGCATCCTCCGGCGACTGGTGCTGGTGCTGCGGCAAGTGCGGGACCCTCCGGCCGAATGGTGAAGGTGCCCATGGCTGGTGATGTGTACTCGTCTTGGGCTGATGCGATGACAGCTGTGGTGTTGTCAAGGCCGACCTCTCGGCTGTCTCCCTTCTCGAGCCTTGTTCGGGCCACACGGCATCGTTCTGTCCTCCCTCAGCTCCTTCCCTGGTGTCCTCCTCGTCTTCCCAGAGAGCCACAGAGCGGGGTGACGACCGGCGGCCGCTCACAGGCAGCCGGCCGGCAGTGCTCACGCGCAAACCACTCGGCGCAGAGATGTTGAGGTTCGGGCGGGCTGGCGGCCGCGGTGCTGTGGCATTGGCATGGTGGTCTTGCCTGGGCTCCGGCGGTTTTGGCGGCTTGGCGTTGGCCGACTGTGTGAAGGCCGCAGGCGTCTTGACGGGCGTGAACCGCAGCTGAGGGGGAGTCGTGTCCTGCACACAACATGCAACACACAGACATACAGACAGACAGAAAGACAGACAGAGTGCACACACAGGGATGTTTGCTGAGGCGGCAACCACGTGAAGCAGCCCTTGCCTTGTATGTGTGTGGGTGGTGTGGTCTGACGGGTCAGCGAGTGTGTAATATGTCTTTGTCTACAGGGCCCTCACTCATCGTGTGTGGGCTGCAGATTCTGACCTATTTTATGTATCATCATTCACCGATCGACCAACCAGCCAGCCAGCCAAGTGGCCTGACTGCACTGCCTTCCTCTGCTGGCTGTCTACCCTTCAGGCACTGCACTCAATACATTACCCGGTGGTTCGACTCCCGCAGACTCTTCAACGTAGCCCTAAGCTCATCCAACGCCTGAGGGAGCTCACACAAACCGGCACACCGGGCAGAGAGGCATCCATCAGACTGACACGACTGACATTGGTCTCTTCCCGCCATCCATCTTGCTGTATGTGTGTGCAGTCCCTGCCTACCGGTGACTGCACACACGCTGCCTTGGCGGCCCTGTCGCCCTCCCTCTTGCCCCCGCCCCCATCACCGCGCACAGGACTCGTAAACATGTCACTGCCGCATCTATCGCCTTTGTCGGCAGCAGCGGCAGCTTCCTGCCTCTCACCTGTCGTCCGGGACTTGACGAATGGCGATGGCCGCGAGTGGTGCCGCGAGAGGGAGGGCTGCTGGGGGATGGGTGGCGGTGTGGCATGGTGGGAGGAGGGGGCCATTGACGACGGGTGACGGCTGCCATCCGACGACTGCACATATGCACACACAAACGCATTGCTCCTCGATTTGACGCATGAGTCTGTCAGCCATCTATCATGCAGCAGGGTGTGGTGTTCTTCTGACATAACTATCATACATTTTGTCTGCTCTCGAGCTCCCTAATACGCCCATCACGGTCCTGCAACTGCAGTGAGTGCACAGACAGACAGGGCCATCCATGGTCAGTCAGGTCACATGTGAGCTCTGCATGCACACGCCGTGCCTGCCACGGTAAGGGAGGGCCGTGCGTGCGTACCTCAGCCCTGAGCTTCTCTATCTCGATGTCCCTGTGCAGCAGGTCATCGGCATACTCGCCCAGCTGCATGCCACACGCACAAAGAGAGAGCATCAACCTGATTCGATTCACCAGTGAGTGCATTCATTCTCTATTCTCTGCTTCCTTCTTCCTTCCTCTGAGCGCACCGCCTCACCTCGCTCCTGAGTCTCGAGAACTCCTGTTCCGCCCTGCGAGTGAACTCAGACAGCTCTGAACTCTTATGCGCCAGCTCCACACGCAGGGCCTCCACCGCTGCACACAACACAGCCAAATGGCGCGAATGCAGCACAGACGTGGGCAATAGGGAGCCACTGTGTGCGAGAAATTTGTTGCTTCTGTACCTTCTGACGCACTGCCGTCCGCCGACATTCAGTTCCCCTCTCGTTGGTTTCAGGCCCTGCGGCGGCAGCGCTTTCATGGAGCACCCTAGGCGGTCTCTGCGAGCTTGGAGATCTTGGAGCCTTCTCGCTGGGCGTGTGTGTTGAGCAACAGGCTTAGATGACTACTTGAAGAAACACAAAGACCGGCAAGAAACCGCTGAGAGAAGGCACTAGAAGCACTCGCTGCACTCGCTGCCTTGATCCATCCGGCCATTGGTTCATTCATTCAGCGTCAGTGGTTGCGGCTCCATGAGTGTATCTCACTCTCAGCAGTTCAACCCCAATCCAGTGTCGATTCTGATCCAGGAGCTGCGGCACGAGGACCTCCAGGCCCGCCTCCACTCGGTCCGCTCACTCAGCACCATATGCGTCGCACTCGGGCCAGACAGAACACGAAACGAACTCATTCCCTTCATACAAGGTACGTAGGTAGGTAGGGTCACACGGGAATAATGAATGGAATGAGTGTGGGCAGACAGACACTTGATTTGATGAGTGTGGCTGGATGCATGGATGGATGGATGGATGAATGGATTGTGTGTGGTGCACTGCAGGTGAGATGTTGGACGACGACGATGAGGTGCTGATAGCGTTGTCGGAGCAGCTGGGCAAGGCCATCGATGCCGTCGGAGGCCCGGAACACGCTTGCTGCATCATACGTGCGTGCGGACGCCAGAGAGGCAGCCAAACACACACACAGCCAGCCAGCCAGCCAGCCAGCCAGGACACCAATCACATCACACCAACGATGATAAAATGACCGGCGGCCTGCATGCCTGGCTGTTTCTGTGTGTGTCTGCGTGCGGGGCGGGGCGGTGGGGTGCAGCCATTGTGGAGGACTTCGCGTGTTTGGAAGAAACTGCCGTCCGGGATAAGGTTGGTTGGAAGGAGAGCAGCACCGAATACGTCACGCACACCCACCCCCTGCAATGCAATCCGTGTGGGGGATTCATTCGTTAAGGCGGTCGAGTCGCTTCGGAAGATCATCGGCGCCATCCCTTTGGAGACCCAGGCCTCCCACATCACCAAACTACTCGACAGGCTGCAAAACGCCGAATGGTCCGGTCCGCCGGCCAAGCCGATTGATTCACCCACAGCCCACAAATGTTCCTTCCTTCCTCCGACAGCCCTGTGCTGTGCTGTGTGCATGTGCGCCGCGTCTGTGTGTGGTCATTCATTCATTCAGGTTCACGGCCAAGATGTCGGCGTGTGCGTTGCTGCCGGCAGTGTGGCAGAAGTTGGGCGACGAGCTGGCGATGGAGGCCAACCTGGTGGAGACCCTCGAGACTCTCAGCAACGACAGTGCGCCCATGGTCCGCAGGGCAGCCGCACACTACCTCTCGGTGTGTCTGTCAGCGAGGCCGGGGGGGAGGCAGGGAGGGAGGGAAGGTCTCGATCGGATCGAGTGGGTATCCATCCATCCATCCATCTGCGTGTGGCTGTTTGTGTGTTTGGTGGCTGGGCTGCAGAGTTTCCTGGAGGTGCTGCCCAAGGATCAGGTGGCGACTCAAAGTGTCGTCGAGGTCTTCAGGAAGCTATCCGTCGACGACCACGTACACACACCACCGCCTGCCCTGCCACCGAACACACATATATACACATCTCCCTCCATCTTTCGTGTGTGGTGTGCTCCTAGGATTCTGTGCGTCTGTTTGTGATGAGGAACTGCATCTCGATGACCCGCAAGCTGCCCGAGGAATTCGACACACTCGTCAGACCGGTCGTCGAAGCGGCCACAAGTGAGTGGGTGAAGGAACAAGACACACACACATCCACTCAGAGACCCGCTCTCAGTCAGGGCAGGCAGGTGTGCATGTTGTGACCCTCTGTATGTGTGTGTAAATGTGTGTGTGTGCAGTGGACAAGGCGTGGCGGGTTCGGTACATGGCAGCTGACAACTTCAAAGAGGTCGGTCAGTTACACCACAACACATACGTACAGCACTTCCCACACACAACACACCACACACAACACACATGCGTCTCGTCTCCCCATCGACCAACATGTTTTGCTTACGGAGGTGCAGTTGGCGGATGCAGTGGCTGAGGGCAGTGCAGACGGGATCGACCAGGTGCGCGAGTTCGTCATTCCCAAGTACATAACGCTGCTCGAAGACCAGGAGGTCAGTGAGTCACCAGCAAACATGCCAGCCAACCAACCCACCGACCAGCGCATGGCATGCGTCTCTGTTGGTTGTTGGAGTGCATGCAGCATGAGGTGCGCACCGTCGCGACGGCCAAACTGGTCGACATCTTCAGGGTGGGTCGGCACGGCGCAGCGCAGCGCAGCGCACAAGACACTCACACAGACACAAACACCGACACAGATGCAGCCACTGTCCAGGGCTGCCTGTGCTGTGTGTGGGTGGGATTGTTGATGATACTGATGATATGTCCATATGTCCAGAGGTTTCCCGAGTGGAAGGGGTGGCCGACGTTCAGGAGCACCATCGAGACCCTCAACAAACTGGTCACCGACCAGACCAGCCTCGTCAGAGGTGACTGACCATCCAATCCACCCGCAGTCATGACACACACACACACAAGACACACAACACAGAACGAACAGACAAGATGCTGTCTGTCTGTCTGTCTGTCTGTTTGTCCACCCCTCTTGATTGAGTGTGCAGGTGCGTTGGCGACGACCGTGTTGGAGTTGGCACCGATCTTCGAGCAGGACCTGACCCTCGAACACCTGATGCCAATCATCATCGCACTCCTCAGGTAGCTGGGTGGTGTTTGGGTCAATGGGTGGAGAACTCGACACAACGACACAAACGCTCACATCAACCAAACCACAAACGATTTGTATATCATGATATGGGTGTGTGCGTGTTAGGGACCAGGTTCCTGAGGTCCGTCTTCGCGTCTTGGCCAGTGTGGACAAAATCGCAAATGTCGTGGGAGTCGAGAATTTCCACGAGGTAGGTACGGAAGTGACACATTCGCCCGCCCGGGTGTGTGCATGTGTGTCCCTCCCCCCACCCCCCCCCTTCCCCCGCCGCCATGTGTGTGTCAGGCGTTGTTGCCGGCTGTGGTAGAGCTGGCGGGAGACAAGCAGTGGCGTGTGCGGCAGGCTGTGCTGGACCACATACCCATCCTCGCACAGCACCTGGTCAGTGAGTCAGTCAGTCGCCGCACCCACACACACCCCCACACACCGACCCACATAAGCCACATCTCCCTCTCCTGCCTCTCCTGGTTGTGTTGTGCCGTCCGTGTGTGTATTGGTTGTCTGTCTAGGGTGTGGACATCTTCGAGAAGGAGATGGGTGAGGTGTACCGAAAGGCGCTCCAGGACCCTGTCTTCTCGATACGCGACGCAGCATCGCAGCGCCTCAAGAAACTCACTGAGGTGACCAGACATCACATCCAGCCATCCACACACAAGGACAGCACTGGTTTCATCCCCTCTCTCTGTCTGTCTGTATCGGTAGGTGTTGGGTCAGTCGTGGGCGGAGTCGCATGTGCTGCCTGATCTGCTCAAGCAGAAGGACTCACCCAACTACCTACACAGAATGACCGTCCTATTCTGCGTCAAGGTAGCCAGCCAGCCAGCCAGGCGTCATGCATATTCTCACAACCATCCCCTTGTCTCTCCCTGAGTGGGTTTACCTTACGCCACCAGACGTTGTGTGAGATCTTCCCCCGTGAGTTGATCGAGGAGCATCTGCTGCCGCTGGCCGTGTCGGCTGCCCACGACAGGGTGCCCAACGTGAGGTACAACGCCTGCAAGACACTCGGAAAGATGCGCGCCGCACTCAAACCTGAACCTGTCAACGCGGTCCGTACTCGCATCACATCAAAGCACAGCCATAGCTATGCGCGTGTGCGCGATATATATGCTTGGGCTGGGCGGCTGTCTTGTCTGTGTGTGTGTCACGTACGTCAGGCTGTGCAAGAGACCCTGCAGCGGCTGGCAGAAGATGAAGACCCTGATGTCAGGTGGGTGACGCACACACGGTAGGTAGGTACATGAATGATATCATGGCCATTTGTAATATATGCAGGTATCTGGCGGCCGATACGCTCAAGGAGGGCGGCTCGTCGTCGTCTGGTGCCACCACCAATGGCGTGGGACCGGCAGCATGACACACACAGACAGACAGACAGACAGACACACAGACAGACACTGATGGATGGATGGGTGGATGGATGGATGGAGACAGACAGACAGACAGACAGGCGAACTGTGCGTGTGTTGGTGTGTTGAGTAGTACACTCACTACACGTGACCAGCCAGCGATACGTTCAGTACGTGTTGACTGACTTGTGATTCAAGCAGCTAGCGATGTCCGTCCACCTTCATTCATTCATCAAATCAGTCGACCAGTGGTGCCATGGCATCCCATCCACGACCACGGAACGCATGTGTGTGTGCTACTGCCACTAT